TGGTAAAAGAGGGAGCAAGAAGTCATAAGAGGAGGAAGGGTCGGGGAGATGAGAATAATGGAGCCCCGAGGTCGTTCCCTCAATCGTGCGCAGCAAGTAAGGCATCAACTGTAAGCCCAGGTCTCTCCCTTGGTGTGTAATGAGTCGATTTTTGAGTCGACTCAAAAAGAAAGTAAGGCATCACCTGAAAGCCCAGGACTCTCCCTTGGCACCCCATGCGGTAGGCTGAGTGCACGGCATCCGGCAGGCCCCTGGATATGGCCACCAACTTGAGGTTAAACAGCAGCCCGTCCAGCTGCAGCATGTGTGTGCACCAGGTCGGGCTTGTCAGAGCGGGAGAAGACTCGCCAGGTCCGGCTATCTGCGAGGGAAGGGACTTACCTACTTACTTACTTGCAAGCCCAGGTCGCCCCCGTGGTACCCCATTCTGTAGGCTCAGCGCACGGCGTCTGGCAGGCCTCTGGAGATGACCACCACCTTGAGGTTGCACAGCAGCGCGTCCAGCTGCAGCATGTGCACCAGGTGCCCCTCCCCCACCCACAGCACCCAGCGACCTCTTTCCCACACTCACCTGCAGGCTCAGGTCGCGTCCGTGTACCCCATGCAGTAGGCTGAGTGCACGGCATCCGACAGGCCTCCGGATATCACCACCACCTTGAGGTTGCACAGTAACCCGTCCAGCTGCAGCATGTGCACCAGGTGAGGGTGCGGCTGCCTGTGATGGCTGGCACTCACCCCTTTGTCGCAAGTGAGAGACTCACCTGCAGGCCCAGGTCGCCTCCATGGTACCCCATCCTGTACGCCGATCTAACAGCGTCAGGCAGGCCCCTCGATATCACCACCACCTTGAGGTTGAACAGCAGCCCGTCCAGCTGCAGCATGTGCACCAGGTCCGGCCGAGCCAGCGCGTCCGAAACCCGACCCAGAGGGTAGGAATCGCGGGCGCGCAGGTATGGGGCTGGCATGTGGGATTTCGGGAGGGGGATTTGTGGGGGAGGGGGGGGATGGAGGCATGGGGGGGTTAAGTGATTGAAGAAGAGCGGAAGGAGGAGAGGGGAGTGGAGCTCAGGAGAGGGTCATGGGAAAAAAGAGGATCATGGAGGAAAGGAGATTGATGGAGGGTGATGGAGGGTGATGGAAGAATGGAAATTGGAAGAACGGATGGAGGGGAGAGCGGGAGCGAGAAACCTCAACGTACAGTTGCCAATCTCTGCCAGCCGCACCGCCATCTCCTTGGCATAGGCTCGCAGCGGGCGAGCATAGGGCAGACGGGGACAGCTGGTGGTGGCGGGAGCAAGGGGGGAGAGAGGAGAGGGGAGGGGAGGGGAAAAAAATATCGCGTGAACGAACGAGCTGAGACATTAGAAGGCGCGCAGGTAGCGAGCATAGGGGCAGACGGGGACAGCTGGTGGTGGCGGGAGCAAGGGGGGAGAGAACGGGGTGTGGGGGGACAAAGGGGGGGGGGGGGGGGGGGGAGGGGAGAGAGGTGGGGGGAAGACGTGGGGGGGGAGGAGGAAAGAAATCAGCAGAAAGCAGCAGAACAGGGGCATAGGGCAGACTGTGACCGCACATTACCACACAAAACCGACCATCACTGCACCGCACCAGGTCTCACCGTGCATCCACGCCATGGACGTGTGTTTGCGTTTCCTCTGAGGTGAGATGGAGCAGCGGCTCGAACGCCACCACTGCAAGGCGCACAAGGGGGAGTGAGGCAAAGCAAGAAAAAGCAAGGGAGAACCGCAACTTTTGAGGTGCACATTTCGAGCCCTACCACACACACACACGCGGTAACTCACCGCTGAAGTTAACTTTCTTGATGTTCCGAAACACCTGTTCAAAGAACTTATGCCCGGACCCCTCGATCCCCGCAAAGAACACCACCAGCGGAAGCTCGTCCCCCGCTCCGCGCCCTCCCCTCCCCGCCCGCGCTAGTCCCATTCTTTCCCTCCGCGGACCCCCCCGCGCCCCCCACTCCCGCCGCAGCTTCCCCGTCCGCAGGCTTGTCTTGCGCGTAGAAGTGCTTCGCGCTATGCGCGACCGCTTTCATGTCTATTCTGGGGCGGCAAACTGGAGGACGCATCGGACACCGCTCGTGGAAGCGCTTCTTAAGATGCTCTAATAAGGTTGCTTGGCCGCCGGCGCCGGCGCCGCCTAAACCTAAGCCTGAGATGTCGCTATGTTGTAGCGACCCTTCGTGCGACATTGCGACGTCTTGGATGTAGAGAACCGTCGCTGCGACGACCCAGACGACGAAGATCTGTGCCACGGCGAATCGCACGACGGGCCGTCGCCAGAGCTGCTGGATCGGACGGAGGAGATTCGACGGCCGGGATTTCGTGTGGGACGGGCTGGCGTCATCGGAGCCGTCGTCGGCATCTAGGATTGCATCGAAGGGATCTATTCCGTCCGTCGTGATTGGCTGAGCGACGAAGAGCGGATCCAGGAGATTGAGTCAGGCTCTCCTTGACTTCCATGATGCACTCCTAGGAGAGCAGCTATTCGTGGCGGATTATACGGCTGAATTACCGACGTAATGTCCTGAAGACGAGGCTAACTGTCGAATTATAAACTAATTTCCTACTTCTCTCAAGTGGAACGCACGGCGAGCGAGAAGGGTGCAAAGAATCTTAGAAATTGGGGTGGATTAGTTGAATGTGGCGATGTGAGGGCGCCATACGTGGGACAGGCCTCAAGATGAGAGCATCAATGGAACACCATGGATTTGCATGAGGCAAGGCCAATGGGAATTATGAAATCTAGGTTGGTGATGATGATGAGGTGACGGTGGAAAGTTACTAATGGTCCTCCATATAGGCTGTCCGTTATGGATAAAACTCCCACCTCATCTTTTAGCGCCAAAATTTCGTATAACTTGCGGTAATTTCGAGCTGCGTCTCATGTCTGTAAGGAAATTTCCTTTTCCTTACTGGGCTCGACTAGTTGCAAGCCAGGAGGAGTTTGACGAGTTGCAAGCCAGGGCGGCTACAGTGACGACACTGCATGCCCAGCTTCAACAACTCGCGGATAAATTCGAGTCGCTGGGAAGCGAAGTTCAGACGCTGCGCAACGAAAACTCGTCACTTTGTCAGACGCGAGGTGAAATGCGTCAGGAGCGGCCTGTTACCCGAGACGAAGATGCTGCGAGCGAAGTGAGGGCGTCGGCGACACCTGAAGCAGTTGAAGAAGTCCACTGCGAGTCGCGGGCAGCCATTAAAATCAAGCCTCCGATGCCCCCACCGTTCAACCCGATCGACACGACAACTGCAATGAGCGGGTGGCTGTTCGCCATGGAAATCTTCTTCACGGCAACAAGTATTAATGATAATGCACCATGTGTCAACTTGGCTGTGTCACTGCTGAGGGGACCGGCACTCGACTGGTGGCACATGCATCTAGACGAGGGAGGAGCCCCGGCAGGGAATCAATGGGCGGCAGATGGGGAGATAAATTCATCAACGACGAAGGCAGAACCAATCTTTGGACCGGCCACGATCTGCACGTGAAAAGCGTGGGGCGAAGCGTTGAAGGGCAGATTTGAGCACATATCCATGCGCGAAAATGCTCGCACAAAGCTTCGGATGTGGAGACAGTTGGGCTCTGTCCAAGAATACACGGCGTCGTTTATGGCAATCTGCGACCAAATCGGAGGGATTAGCGAAGACGAGAAAATCGATCGCTACGTGGGTGGTCTCAAGCCGGAGATTCAGCAAGAGATAATCCTGCGAGCCCCGACGACTTTCAACAAAATTGTTCGCATCGCGGACGCGTTGGACGCACGACATGGACTCGCAAAAGCGGGTTTCCAGGAGGGAAATCGCTTTCGAGGCCAGCCCTAACACACATCAATCAACGGCGTGGACGCGTTTGCAGCCCGAGTATTTTTGGGGACTTGCTTCCAAGGCAATCAGCCGGGTCACATGGTGGGGGACTGCCCGCAGCTGAAGAAGAACTTACCTAACGACAAGAAGCAGTCGAGAAATGGAGATCGCCAGTAGCAGATGTGCCACCTACTGACTTGACTGCGTCGCCCAAACGCCACCACCCCCAGCAGGTTATAGTGCCGATTTGGGCTATCGACCATTCCTAGCTGAATAAGGGGGGTGAACCGGTTGATCACCCTATGCTGGTTGAAGGGAGAGTTGGCGACACCCGCATAAAAATATTCATTGATGGCCGGGTGAGCCACAGTTTGATGGACGTGACGAAGGCGAAAAAATTGCGACTGCAACTGGAGCGCTGCATGCCTGAAATCGACGCGAGATTGGTCGACGGCACACCCCTGGCAATTCGGGAGCGAGTGCCTCACGTTCGAGTAACCTGCGGCGAAAATTTCAGTTTCACGTCGAAGATGCTGGCGACGACTTTGGATGGCTGCGACATGCTCCTGGGACGAGATTGGCTACGCGAATACAACCCGAGCATTGACTGGAGGACGGACGATTGTCGCATAAAATGGAGTGGCGAGTGGCGACGACTACCCAAGTAGAGCTGTCAAGATTCGACCACGTCGACGGTCAGCACGGTGACGATCAAGCGAGCTATGATTTGAGGGGCGCAACTGTATGCCGTCCGATAGATCGCATCAACGGCTGTCGACACGCCAGCCGACATCGACAAACTTTGCGCAGCTCTCCCGGATGTATTAGCGATGGTGCTTCGAAAACACGCCGACATTTTTTCCAGACGACCTGCCTGCGGGTTTGCCACTTGAGCGCGACCACGACCACAAAATCGAGTTGGAGCCCGGCGCGCAACCGATTGTTCGGACTCAATGGCGGTTGACTCAGCCCGAGCTAGATGAACTTCGATGCCAGCTGGACTACCTGTTTGAGAAAGGTTTCGTTCGCCCTAGCACTTCCCCATTTGCAGCTCCGATCCTGTACACCCTGAAGAAAGATGGCGGTCTACGAATGTGTATTGACTACCGCGCCTTGAATCGGGTTACCATCAAGTCCCGCTACCCTATCCCGCGTGCCGACGAACTCATCGACCAACTTTGTGGAGCCAAGTTCTTTTCGAAAATTGACCTGCGAGGCAGTTACCATCAGATCCGCGTGAACGAAGCTGACTATTACAAGACGGCGTTTCGGACCCGGTACGAAAGTTATGAGTACACGGTTATGCCATTTGGCTTGACAAACGCGCCTTCAACGTTCCAGTTAGCCATGAACGATGTTTTTGGCCGCTGCTGTATAAATGCGTTATTGTGTACCTCGACGACATCGTGATCTACAGCACTACCTGGGAATAGCATTTGAAGGATTTGGAAGCAGTTTTCTCTCTCCTGCAGCAGCACCGATTCATCACAAAGGGATCTAAGTGCGAGTTTCTCAAACATGAACTGGAGTTTTTGGGACACGTCATTTCCATCGATGGCGTTACAATCGACCAAAAACAATCGCGACAATCCAAGACTGGAAGCCGACGGCTAACCTCCATGAACTTCAGAGTTTTCTGGGGTTTGTGAATTACGTTCGTCGATTCATCCCGAACATGGCGGGGGTAACTTCCCCTCTCACGGATCTCCTGAAGAAAGGCAAGTTTTATGAGTGGGGGGGAGAGCAGTAGGCTGCGTTCGAACAGTTTCAAACTTTTCCTGACTACACCTCTGGTTCTTCGAATTGCAGATCCTCACCGTCCGTTCGAGCTCATCACCGACGCTAGCGACCTGGCTGTTGGCGCATTACTGTTACAAGACTTCGACGAAGGCCTTCGACCCATCGCCTACGAGTCACGAAAGCTGAACTCGGCCGAGCGAAATTATCTTGTCCACGATCGGCGGAATCCAAATGGAGAGCAGGTTGAGACACGTTGCGAGAGGAGAGACGCAACGAGAGTTGGAGAGGTGCGGGGTGAGAAGAAGAGATGCGGCGTGGAGGAGAGTGGCACGTCTAGATAGAGAGAGGCGGAGGTGCGAAGAGGGAGAGAGTGGCACAATGGGTGAGAGAGAGGCAGAGCAACACACACGAGAGAGAGGGGCGCTGTGAGAGTACGACCCCGTTCCATTCCTTTCTCCTTTCCATTTCATTCCTCTTTTTTATCTTGATTCATTTGGTCTTTCTCTCATTCCATTTGGATTCCTATTCCTTCTTTTCCATAAACCTTTGGTTTATCCTGTTATTATCCTTATATCACTGACCAGGCTCGGGATATACTGGTGCGCTATATCTAGCGTAATCCTGCCGTAATCCATTAAAGCCAATAGCCTCGCGTGGCTATATGCAGGGTGATTCTATCTTCTAGAAGGGGTCTATTCCCTTGGGATAAGATAAACCTGGTTACCTGATGTACTTTGGAAGTATAAAAGCGCCTTGTATCAATCGATAGTGCAACCTTTCCTCGACACATTCGATTCAGTAACACTTGGTAATCAGAGCTTTTCTCACTCGACCGCGCTCAGCTAAGCAGCAGCAGCAGGGGATCCTGCCTCGAAAAACCGCCGGGGGCGACCAATTCGATGCCGATTCTGGTAAGCACCAGCTCCGCGTTTTTTCGAATCACCCCCTCCGTGCGTGTTTTGAACAGGATGGCGAACTTCGACAACGCCGAAGTTACCCAGCAGCTCTTCGCGCGCATCGCAGCCCTACAGGAGGAGATGCGAGCCGACCGCGAAGCTTGGCGAAACGAGTTTGAGCGAGTAACTGACTCGCCGGCGTGCAACACAAAACGACAACGGCGACGACGCAGCAATCGCAGCAATTTCTCGAGGCTCCGAAACCGCGCCCACCTGAGCCTTTCGATCCGAGCGATCGAAACTCCGACGTCCGCAGATGGATCGCCGGCATGGAGATCTACTTCGCAGCCGTTGGATGGAGCTCGCCAGTCTGGGACGGTCAACGCGTACGATTCGCGACGACACTGATGCGAGGGCCGGCACTCGAGTGGATCGGCGGTAACAGCACCTTCATCCACGGCGAAGCCACGTGGCAGCAGTTCCGCACCGACCTGCTAAAACGTTTCGAGCCGATAAATTCGGGTTTCCTTGCCCGGGAAAAAATTCATCGCCATCGACAGTTCGGGAGTGTAGCACAGTACACACAGCAGATGGAGGAATTTTATAACCGCATTCCCGACCTGACCGAAGGGGAAAAAGTACAATCGTACCTCGCCGGGCTGAAGACCGAAGTCAAACGACAAGTGGGAGCGACAAACTACGCGAGCTACGGTGACGTCGTATCGGCCGCGGAACGCTTCGACATGGTCAACGCCGGGACACGACGGACCGAACGTCGGCAGTACGCGACAGGGCGACCGCTCGGCTCACACCACGTTTGCCGACCGATGGAAGTCGACAGGTTCGAAGGGCGGCCACGTCCGAAAAACACCAACTACACGTGTGATTTCTGCGGGGTGCCGGGTCATCGAATCTTCGACTGCAACAAAATGAAAAGCCGCACGCGCTGAGTATCGAGCACGCAACAGTGGCGGAAATCCTTCGGCCAATCAGAAGCCAAGAGATGGAGCTCGCCAGTGATTGCGGATCTAGCTGGCGAAAAAGGAAAGATCCGAAAGCGGCCGCGGACTTCCGGAAAAATCAACTTCGACGCAGCTAATTCGACTCGAACATGAGAAATGATGGGGACAAAACTCCACCCCACGACCAGTCTTTGCCAGAGGAAATCGCTGAGGAAAAATCTACTCGCGAAAAAGGACTCTGCCAAGACGGGGAAACTCCTTGAAGACCCAAGAAATTATAAGGATTCGTTAAAGTTATCTTACAAAGATGCTTTAATGAAAACTTGTAATTCTCGAGGGGCTAGAGCCTTGGAGAAATTTTGGGAGGGACTCCAGAAGAAGCAGAAAATTGTGGAGATCGTACCGGTACCGGAGAACTTGGGGACCAAATTAAGGAGTGTGGAAAGAAGCCGACCTTTCCACGGAGTCAACGTCCTCTCCCGACACCAGCCCACAGCGACTACCCGTTCCCCAGGGAAGACGTCGGTGGAGCTGGAGCAGCTCAAAAGGAAGCTGGGGGTCTACAAGAAGTTGCAAAAACCCCGAACTCCTTCTTCGGATGCATCCCAACTCGGCAACTTCGTCAACGACACGAACAGTCATCACGGCAAACTCCGAGCCCAGGAGAAGAGCCTTTCTCCAAGCAGCCTCGGCCAGCTACCAGCTCAGGAGTAGGAAGCAACGAATATTGGGATGTACCCTATGACCCAATCAATGAAACTATTTTTGGGTACTCCGAGCAACGCCTGCCCCTCGTGCTCGAGGTCATCTGCAAAGGACGACGCCTCCAAGCACTCGTAGACAATGGAGCATCGCACACTATATGCGACAAGGCAACCATCGACCGACTTCGAGAAGAGTACAAGCCATTAACGTTTCGCAATGATGGTGGACGGCAGCAAGTTACCAGTGTACGGCGAAGCAGTGCTATACCTACAAATCAGTCCACTACGCTGGAAACCTACTCTCCCCATCACCAACATAAAAGGGCTTGACCTGATCTTCGGGCGAGACTTCCTCAAGAATTCAACCCCGAGATCAACTGGGTAAACCGCACCGCAAGCATCTACAACAAAGGAAGGAGAGTCCGGCTACCCAACTGGACGATACAAGAGATATCCCCGTGGTAGACACTCGCCAGATTTGAGAAGGACGTGAAACAAACCGACACCGGGTTCCTGGCGATAGCAATAGAGGTGGAGAAATGACGGAGAGAAAGCCTCGGAACCTCAAGAAAAAATCAAGGACTTACTGAAGGGGTTCTAAGACATTCTTCCCGACGATCTCCCGGACGAACTATCGCCATACCGAACGCACCAACACGAGATCGTGGAGGAACCAGGTTTGAAACCGACCTTCCGAGCACCATATCGGCTAAGCCACAGAACTGGCCAATATGAAGAAGAAGATCGAGTATCTCCTCGCCAAAGGACTCATATGACCATCCACTTCGCCATACGGCCCCAGTACTCTTCACACCGAAACCGGACGGAAGCCTGCGCATGTGCATCGACTACCGAGCTCTTAACAAGCAGACCATCAAGAAAAAATACCGATACCACGAATCGATGACCTGCTTGACCAGCTTCGGGGAGCTACGGTATTTTCAAACTGATCTGCGGTCCGGATACTGGCAGATACGGATGGCGGACATCTTCACAAAACTGCTTTCCGAACTCGGTACGGATCGTACGAGTATTTGGTCATGCCGTTCGGACTCACCAACGCACGGCAACGTTCCAAGCCGAAATGAACACATCCTACGCCACTCTTGGACGAATGCGTGGTGGTGTACCTGGACGACATCCTCATCTACTCGCGCGACATGCAACAACGTCGAACACCTGACGCGTCTTCGAAATTCTTCGACGAGAACGCTTCTACGTCAAACTATCCAAGAGCGACTTCGCCCTCGAGAAGGTCCAATTCCTGGACATATGTAGCGCTCAAGGAGTTCACGTCGACCCCAAGAAAATCGAAGCCGTACGTACGTGGAAGACACCCGAGAACGTGAAGGAGTTACAGCAGTTCCTAGGCTTCGCTAATACTACAACAGGTTCGTGCCACAAACGCGAAATCGCCACGCCACTCACGAATCTGCTGAAGAAGAACACGCCCTACAAATGGGAGACAACACCAGGAAGCCGTGGAGCAGCTGAAACAAGCACTCACGTCCGCACCGTACTCATCTTGCCAGACCCGAACGCGACTACGTCATCGAAGCTGACGCCAGCGACCAGGCAGTGGGAGCAGTCTTGATGCAAGACCAGGGGAATGGACTGCAACCAATTGCCTACCTCAGCAAAAAACACGGGCAGAACTCAACTACCCGATACACGACAAGAGGCCCTTGCTATCATCATCGCCTTCAAAACGTGGAGATGTTATCTCGAAGGACGCAAGAACAACAGTCTACACCGACCATGCAGCCTAAATATTTGAAGACGCAACCAAGCCTCTCCAGGCGGCAGGTCCGGTGGATCGACTTCCTCGAGACACACTTCCACTACGACATCGTGTACAAGCCCGGCCACAAAAACAAAGCAGACGCGCTTAGCCGGCCTGCACACGTTGCCGCCATCCAAGTTGAAGGGATGAATCCACTCTTCTAGGGACTCTTCACACACGGGTACACCATCGACCCCGAAATTCCCTTGGCAGAAAAGCGACATCTGCTACAGTGGGACAACGACATCGCGTACCGGAAAGGATCAATGAAGATCTGGGTACCTAATTACTCTCCATTGCGCCAGTACGAAGAATACCACGACTCGAAGAATACCACGACGTCCTGTACGCAGGACACTTCCGGTAGCAACAAGACGCTTACCGGTATCGCCAAACACTACTACTGGCCCCATATGGCCGATGACGTACAGAAATTCGTCACCTCGTGCACCACATGTCAGCGGATGAAGAGCAGCAAGCAGAAAAAAGCGGGTCTGCTACAGCCTCTTCCTGTCCCAAAACAGCCATGGCAAGAGGTAAGCCTAGACTTCATCACCGAGCTACCAACTACCACAAGCGGTCATGACGCGATCCTCGTCGTGATTGACAAGTTCTCCAAAATGGGACACTTCATCCCGACACACACCACAGCACGCACCGAGGAGACAGCACAACTCTTTGTTCGCTACATCATCTCACAACATGGCATTCCAACCACACTCATCTGCCGACCGAGACCCTAAGTTCACCAGTAAATTCAGGAAAGAACTGATGTCTCTACTCGGGACCAAACTCGCCATGTCATCCGCCTACCATCCGCAGACAGATGGACAGACCGAGCGCCTCAACCAAATTGTGGAGCAACTCCTCCGCGCAGCATGCAAGGACGACATCTCAATATGGGACTTGCACCTGCCCGTCCTGGAGTTTGCCTACAACAATGCTACTCACGCCGCTACTGGACAGACGCCGTTCTTCCTCTGTTACGGACGCCACTCACTCACACCTCAACAGCCAACCATACCAGCCACAGTCCAACCCGCTCATGATTTCATCACGACCATGCACAAACTTTGGGATCGGACCCACAAGCGCCTTCTCGACATTCAGCAAAAACAGAAGCGCCAAGCCGATCGCCACCCGCACAGACCACACCATTACTGTGGGGAGACCGAGTACTACTCGACACACGCAATCTTGACATCAGCCATCTCACATCCAAACTGCGACCTCGCTTCTGCGGGCCTTTTCTCGTTGAAGCACATGTCACTCTTGTTACCTTCCGCTTACGCCTGCCAGCTATCTGGAAGATTCACAACGCCTTCCATGTCCAAATCTTGAAGCCCTACCGAGATCCCAACACAGTCTTCTCTGGACGCCAACCGCCGCTGCCCGTCCTCGTCTATGATGAACCCGAGTACGAGGTCAAGTCCATGCTTGCTCACCGCCGTCGACGGAATGGCACCGTGGAGCTTCTCATCCGTGGAATGGTTATGATCCTTCACAGGATAGTTGGGCCTCTGAATCCGAGATGGATCACGCTCGTCGTCCTCGTCGCGACTACCTTGTCAAGCAGGGTGTCATGTCTACCACCCAGCTTTGAGGGGGGGAAGTGTGAGAGTACGACCCTGTTCCATTCCTTTCTCCTTTCCATTTCATTCCTCTTTCCATCTTGATCTATTTGGTTTTTATCTCATTCCATTTGGATTCCTATTTCTCCTTTTCCATAAACCTTTGGTTTATCATGTTATTATCCTTATATCACTGACTAGGCTCGGGATATACTGGTGCGCTATATCTAGCGTAATCTTGCCGTAATCCCTTAAAGCCAATAGCCTCGCCTGGCTATACGCAGGGTGACTCTATCTTCTAGAAGGGTCTATTCCCTTGGGATAAGATAAACCTGGTTACCTGATGTACTTTGGAAGTATAAAAGCGCCTTGTATCAATCGATAGTGCAACCTTTCCTCGACACATTGTGACACTTTCAAGGTCAGGCGCTGCTACATGACGGGCGCTGACGTGATCGTCCGAACAAACCACAAATCGCTACAGTTCATCCGCGCCAACCGACACTAAATCCCCGATAGATTCGCTGGCTCGATTACCTCGAGTCAAACTTCCACTACAAAGTTACCTACAACGGGGGGTTAGCAACATCGCCGACGCACTGACCCAACCTTCAGTCCATACTGCCGCTGTCCTAATTACACAAACTATTCCGCTGCTAACTAGCCTATTCACCCACGAATACAGTACCGACCCATTCTTCACCACTAACAATCATCCCCAAAAGGACGGTCAAGCAAGGGGCCTATTACCTAAAATCGGGTACCAATCGGATTTGGGTTCCCACTATCGTACCCTACAAGAACTACTGATATAGGAGGCACACGACTCGAATTTCTCGGGTCACTACGGCATCGACAAAACTGGCCAAATTACCGAGCCGTAATTATTACTGGCCCAACTTGCAACAGACGTGCAGCAGGACGTCACCTCCTGCGCACGTGTCAACGCATGAAGTCTTCACGGCTTCGACCTGCGGGATTGCTGCAGCAGCTCGAGCCACCCAGGGGATCCTGGCATTAGTGACGAAGGATTTCCTCACTAGCCCATTGCAGCTGGTTCAAGCGGTAACGACGCGATTCTCATCGTCGTTGACCGGTTGACCAAGATGGCCCACTTTGCCGCTTGCAAGACGACAATTACTGCCGAGCAGACAGCGAAACTGTTCCTTACGAACATCGTGCAGCTACACGGCATTCCTTTGGCAATCATCAGCGATTGCGACCCAAGGTTCACGTTCAACTTCTGGACAAAAACCTGGCAGCAGTACGGCACACGTCTGCATCTTCCAGGTGTACCACCCCGCAATCGGACGGCCAGACTGAGCGCACCAATCCGATGATGGAGCAGCTGATTCTCACATCATGCACAGACCCGGCCCAATGGGAAGACTCCCTTCCCTAGATCGAGCTTGCGTACAACAACGCCTCATCGGTTACGACTACTCAGTCCCCGTTGTTCCTCAATTACGGGATAGACCCGACAACCCCTCTATCGCCACCGATAGAAAATCCGGCACCAAGATCTCAACAGTTTGTTGAAAATCTCAGACTGTCTCAGCAAAAAGCCGCTTATGCCATCCTCAAAGCCAATCAAGGGGCTAAAGCCAGCAAGCTGACCGACGACGCCGAAACTTAACTCTTGCCCCTGGGCAATTGGTCCTACTTGACACCACAAATTTGGGAAATCCCCTCCCAAATAAACTACGACAAAGATTTTGTGGCCCATTCCGCATCATCCGCATGGTGACACCAGTCACCGCCCAGCTGCAACTACCGGTCGACTGGCGAATTCATGATTCCTTTCACGTCAGCCTCCTGCGACCATTCGTCCCGAGTACGACTAATCTCGACCGTCAACACATCAATCCTACGGTCAACCCAGTACTTGAGCCGACGATCGAGCCATCGAAGATTCTCGCTCATCGCGTACGAGGCCATCGAGATGCGACAACCGTTGATTTCCTTGTACGATGGGTTGATCGCACGACGGACGACGATCTTTGGGTCCGTGCAGCTATGCTAGGCGAACACAAAGTCGTCCGGGACTATTTACACCGACGACGTGTCCCGGATGTGGATAGTCTCATCCCGGAATGGGGGGTGGTGTAAGGAAATTCCTTTTCCTTACTGGGCTCGACTAGAGCGCGTACGCCCTCGACTCTCGGAAGTCCAGGCTCGGCCAATTTTTTCGGTCCTGAACCATTTCGTGAACTCAAACCTCGACGCGCAGCGCTTCCGTGGCTTTCGCCAACCGAATCGTCCCAACCTGTTCGTGTGGTTCTCGGCTAGCTCTGTTCGTGCCTATAAATACCTAGGCCCTCATTTGTATCGACACTCTTGAATCACGATTCCTTTGTTACACTACCTGTTATTACTCTGATTAATTCATAACAATGTCTCTCGCAAAGTAACATCTGCGACGGGTTACACAGCTCTCCGTTGTCGCAATTATTGCCTTCCGCACCACCACTGGAGCACCTGCACACGAAATTATTGGGCCTCCGCAATTATCTGCCCTTCCTCGCGCTTGCAGATTTGAGTCCGTGTCTCACGTTTCAGCAACCTTGCGGGACGGGCAAAACACACGAAAGGGAGTTACTCAAACTGCCTAGCCATCTTTGGTTTCGCTGATGATTTCGGAGTCTCGTTGGGCTCGTCAGGCCCGCACTATAACCTGCGAAAGTTACTCACGATCGCCACTACCGCGGCTCGTGATTGGAAAGCTGGAGCGCACATCCTATTTGTGGAAGATGTAGCGCAGCGAGCCACAACTCGCCAATAATTGTCCCACAAATTCCAACCCCAATCCATCTTGAGGAAAATCACATCACTTCGAAAATCGCCCCCAACGCAGCATCTCCTTTCTCACCCACCATTATTTCCACTTTCTATGGCTCCTCCCCTCGCCTCAGCTTGTTCACTCGCTCTCGGGTCAAATTAGACCCACACTTTCGCTTCGTTTCAAAGCCAAAATCATCAGGCTCATACCAGGCAGTAGAACCGAACGGCTGCTTCAGATGTCAGTTAACGGCCTTCATAGCATATAGGAAGCAGGTCTGCGAATACACCTAGATCTAGCTCCGAAACGGTAGTTCAGAGCAGTCGAAATTCTCCTTCGCATTGCAAGCAAGCTGCCGCTGCCCCCGCTGCCCCCGATTCCCCCGCTACCCCCGCTGCCTGCAGTGATTACGTTCTGAACAACCCCCGCGATACCTGTGGGCGGAAACCATCGGATTGCTGTTCTTCACCGCGAGTTAACGTTCAAGCGAAGGAAAAGGAGACGCAGGATGGAGCCTTCAGGGCTGCCAGTGTTCCAGGCTCCTAAACGATTGGCGATTGCGAGCGACGCCATCGTGGCTGTCGCATTCGTCGCACTCGCGACTGCCGGCGTCGCCAACGCTGGTACGAGCAGTGACGTGCATAAATCTGCAGATCAAAGACTCAGATAAGTCTTCGCTCAGGGCAGCTGCAACCTTGAATTCTTCTCTCTAACCGCAACCGCCTTTTTCTGTTGTAAAGATACACATAATACTCTCCTCCTCATCTCGCTCGGATCCCATCGTCTGTGTTTCAGCCCGACCGCAACGTCGAGCTTTCCTCTCTAACCGCAACCGCCTTTCGCTGTTGTTCGATACACATGATAATATTTGTCTCCTCATCTCGCACCCCTGACCCCATCGTCTGTGTTTCCGGCCGACCGCAACGTCGAGCTTTCCTCTCTAACAGCAACCGCCTTTCGCTGTTTTTAGATACACATGATAATATCCGCCTCCTCATCTCGCACCCCTTACCCCATCGTCTGTGTTTCAGGCCGACCGCAGCCTCGAATTCTTCTCTCCAGCACCGGCAGTAAGCTCGCTTGCTACTAGCACCTTGTGCGGTACTTGAAGTACTCGAACCCAGTACCAGGGACTCCCAGAATTGGAAGGATGTTCAGACGCTAACCCAGTACCAGGTGTATTTTGAGTCGAACAGTTGTATTTTGAGTACCAGGTGTACTCAAAATGCAACTGTGCAGACGCTAACCCAGTACCGGGGACTCCCAGTCTAGCGGCTTTGCCTTGCAGACGCTTATCCCGCCTTCCGTTTATGCGTCACTCTGCAATTTCAGTCTGTACGCTTCGCAGAGAAAACTGCTCTAACGAGAGCGTTTGCACACGTGCAAGCGTCACGTCTTGCGATGCGTAAGCTTCTCGATTCCCGTTGCGTCACCATTGGCCGGTATCGAGTCATCCCACGGATCTTTTATGGCGACGATTGGCGGCGAGTGTCAGCTGTGCGACGCACGTGTCGTACATCCGTCTCTCTTCATCTCCCCCGTCTCTCCTCCTTCCCCCCGTCTCACATCCTTCCCCCGTCTCTGTCCCTTTCCCCCCGCCCTGTGGTGTCCGTGCCAGCTGCGACGATCGTCATCTCCGTGATCATCGGCGTGCTCCTCGTTGCGCTCGTCGCGCTCGGAGTCAAGATGCTGCTCGACAGATCCAGTGAGCTTCGTAACCCCAGACACCCAAACCCCGTTCTTCGCTTCTCGCCGTGACCCTTGGAATCAACTCAAGAGTCACCTTGCGCGCTCCTCGTTGCGCTCGTTGCGCTCGTCGCGCTCGTCGCGCTCGGGATCAAGATGCTGCTCGACAGATCCAGTGAGCTTCCTTCTTCCATACACCCTCCTGGATTACAGAGCTCCGTTCCTTCTTTTTCTCGCCTTCTTCACCTCTTCACCCCTCCCTTCCCCTCTGCACCTCTTCACCCCTCCCTTCCCCTCTTCACCTCTTCACCCCTCTCTTCACCTCTGCACCCCTCTCTTCACCTCTGCACCCCTCTCTTCACCTCTGCACCCCTCCCTTCGTTGGTGGGGCACTGGATCGTCCTAGTTGAGTGTGGGAGGGCTACAGGTGTCGTCCTGGGGGGTGTGGGTGCGCTGACCACCATATAAACATGCCCTTATAACCCAGTCGGTAACGGGCTGGGCCAACACCCTCCCCCTCTTCACCTCTTCACCCCCTCCCTTCACCTCTTCACCCCTCCCTTCCCCTCTTCACCCCTCCTTCCCCTATTTCTTCTCCCTTCCTCTTTTCACGTCTTCACCTCCCCCTCCCCTATTCTCGTCTCCCTTCCGCCCTCCCCCTACCATCAGAAGCTTCCAAGAAGTCAGCCCAGTCCGAAGGCAAGACGTCTGCTACAAACCACCACCAGCCGCAGCAGCAGCGCCAGCGGAAGAAGGGATGCGCGGGGGGGGAGGCGCGGTGCATGTGGTGGGCGGAACTGACGAGGACGACGCGGACATCCCGCGCACACGGCGGAGAAGTGGACCCTGGCGGAGGTGGCGGAAGCAACGGGGGAGTTCGCGCAGGAAGAATGTGATAGAGGGGGAGGGGCAGAGCGTGGTGCTCCGGGGGAGGGCGCGGGACGGCAGGGAGGTGGCGGTGAAACGCTGCAAGCAACCCCTGCCGGAAAGCCAGGCGCTTTTCCTCCGAGAGGTGAGTGAGACTGCTGTGGATTCTTCTTTTCTGAGGGAGGTGGGATTTCTCCAGGGACGAGACTTCCCCAGGGACGAGACTTCCCCAGAGATACTGCGACGCCTGGTAGATACTGCCGCTCTTTCAGCACAAGGCTCTTGCCCCGTCAGCAGAAGGCTCTTGCCCCGTCAGCAGAAGGCTCTTGCCCCGTCAGCAGAAGGCTCTTGCCCCGTCAGCAGAAGGCTCGCCCCGTCAGCAGAAGGCTCTTGCACCGTCAGCAGAAGGCTCTTGCCCCTTACAACCCACCCCTGCCTCTTTCCCCCACCGTGTCGTCGCTCCCCCACACCCTCCTGGTACCAGGTCATGCTGGCGATCAGCCTGCTTTTGAGTCGACTCAAAAGCAGGGTCATGCTGGTGACCTGCCCGCGCCACCCCAACCTGCTCCCCCTCATCGACTGCTGCTCATGTTTACCTCTCCTCCAACCCCCCCAACCCCCTCCCCACACCACCCCCTCGCACCAGGTCATGCTGGTCACGAGTCAGCGCCATCCCAATCTCCTTTCGCTCATCGGCTACTTCTCATGTGTCTCTCTCTTCCTACTTTCATCTTCCTCTGCTTCCCTTCCCACCCCTCCCCTTCCCCCTCCCCCTCCCCTTCCCCTTCCCCCCCCCCCTCCCCTTCCCCTTCCTCCTCCCCCTCCCCCCTCCCCCCTCATCAAAGTCATGCTGGTCACCAGTCTGCGCCACCCCAACCTGCTGTCGCTCATCGGCGACTGCGCCAGTCCCTCCCTTCCTGCTCTCACTCACCAGCCTCTGCTTTCTTTCCCTCATCGCCGGCTGCTCGTCTCCCTCTCTTCCTGCTCTAACCTGACTCTGCTTCCTTTCCCCACCCCTCCGCTCCCTCCTCCCCCTTCCCCTCCCCCCTACCCGCTCCCCATCCCCCCCACCCTCCATCAGGTGATGCTGGTAACCAGTCTGCGCCACCCCAACCTGCTGTCGCTCATCGGCTACTGCGACGAGGGCAGCGAGCAGATCCTCATTCTCGAGCACATGCCCTACGGCTCCCTCGCCTCCTGGCTGCGCCCACATGCTGATGCCGGTGCGTTGCTTGTCACACATGCTTCTAGGCTGCTAGAAATTGAGTTTTGAGGCGCCTCAAAACTAGCGTTGCTTGCCGCACATGCTTCTAGGCTGCTAGAAATTGAGTTTCGAGGCGCCTCAAAACTAGCGTTGCTTGCTGCACATGCTTCTAGGCTGCTAGAAATTGAGTTTCGAGGCGCCTCAAAACTAGCGTTGCTTGCCGCACATGCTTCTAGGCTGCTAGAAATTGAGTTTCGAGGCGCCTCAAAACTAGCGTTGCTTGCCGCACATGCTTCTAGGCTGCTAGAAATTGAGTTTTGAGGCGCCTCAAAACTAGCATTGCTTGCTGCACATGCTTCTAGGCTGCTAGAAATTGAGTTTTGAGGCGCCTCAAAACTAGCGTTGCTTGCCGCACATGCTTCTAGGCTGCTAGAAATTGAGTTTCGAGGCGCCTCAAAACTAGCGTTGCTTGCGCACATGCTTCTAGGCTGCTAGAAATTGAGTTTCGAGGCGCCTCAAAACTAGCGTTGCTTGCCGCACATGCTTCTAGGCAGCTAGAAATTGAGTTTTGAGGCGCCTCAAAACTAGCGTTGCTTGCTGCACATGCTTCTAGGCTGCTAGAAATTGAGTTTTGAGGCGCCTCAAAACTAGCGTTGCTTGCAGCACATGCTTCTAGGCTGCTGGAAATTGAGTTTTGAGGCGCCTCAAAACTAGCGTTGCTTGCCGCACATGCTTCTAGGCTGCTAGAAATTGAGTTTTGAGGCGCCTCAAAACTAGCGTTGCTTGCCGCACATGCTTCTAGGCTGCTAGAAATTGAGTTTTGAGGCGCCTCAAAACTAGCGTTGCTTGCCGCACATGCTTCTAGGCTGCTAGAAATTGAGCCGCTTTGTGCCCTCCCCTTAAAGCCAGCTGCTGACTTTTGAGTCGACTCAAAAGTCACCCCTTTATGCCAGCTGCTGCCCTCCTGGCTGCGCTGACGTGCTACCGCCGGTACGTTCCACGCCCCATGTGCCGGTATGCTCCTCGCATCATCCCAGCCTTCTCTCATTCTCCACCACATGCCCTACGGCCCCCTCGCCTCCTGGCTGCGCCTGCCTGCTGCTGCCGGTAATATTGAGCCACCTCACTTGCAGCTATGCCCCAATTGTGGCAGGAAGCCATCCCGCCTCGTACACACATGCCCCTTGCCTCCCGTGCTGCCTCCCATGCTGCCTCCTGTCGTGTAATCAGAGGGTAGAATTAACTACTGAAGTGTCACACTGGGCCTTCCTTTTCCTCACATACCATCCTCTCCCCTATTTCTTTCCCCTTCCCGTTTGTTTTTAACAAGAGACAGCCGACCACCTCTCAGCTTTGACCAGAGGGTGAAGATCGCTGCTGATGTGGCACGCGCAGTAGTGTTCCAACATTCTTACTATTCCTCCCCCTCTCCCCTCTCCCCTCTCCCCCCCTCCCCTCCCTGCTTCCTTGCTGCTTTCCTCTCAACAGGAGACAGCCGCCCACTCTCAGCTTTGACCAGAGGGTGAAGATCGCTGCTGACGTGGCACGAGCAGTGGAGTTCCTTCACTCGCAGCCCAAGCCCATCGTGCACCGCGACATCAAGACCGAAACCATCCTGCTGGACGAAAGTCTCAATGTACGTAATGCTGGAAGTCAACAGAAGTTGACAGAAGTCAACAGAGGTCAACAGAAGTCAGCCAGAGTGGCACACGTAGTGGAGTTCCTTCACCCCCAGCCTAAGCCGGTTCAGCACCGCGATATCAAGACAGAGACCATCCTGCTGGACGAGAACCTCAATGTAAGTGACGGCTTTAGGTCAACAGAAGTCAACGGAAGTCAACAGAAGTCTACCAAGAGTGGCACGAGCAGTGGAGTTCTTCACTCGCAGTTCAAGCCCATCGTGCACCGCGACATGAAGACATAAACCATCCTGATGGGGCGAAAACTCAATGTAAGTGATGCTGGAAGTCAACAGAAGTCAACTGAAGTCA